AGCCGAGTATGTCGCCGTGTCACTCGGAGGGATCCCGAGCCCCGCGATTGGCCCGACCGTGGGCGAGCGCAGTCACGTGGTATCTCGTTAATTTTTATGGGGAGAATCTGACGTCACACGTACGCCGGACCCGTGGACCAGATTCGCCGAGTGGGTTTCCCTTTCTTTTCGATGTGCGCGCGCGCGCGCACGCGCGCGCGAACATTGTACCCTCTCATCCTGGGTTCGGCGTACTAAGACCGTTTATTAATGCGAATCTAGACGCAAACCGGATATAGAACGCATTCTTCGGGAGGTTCGAGCCACCGCGCACCGGCCGCACTCTCGAATCAAGTCGTTTGACGCAAACGACCTACGAATACTTGAATGGACGACATAAATAGGTCCGCGATACTCTGTCACCGATGTTATCTGTTATGTGTACGTAAGTAGAGCGAGAGATGAAGCCAATAGAGCGTATACCCGTAACAAGATATTGTTTTACTAAGCATTATTGCGCTCCAGTTTAAAAATCTATCCTACCGTCGAGATACGTGGGTTCGATTATCCGCCATCTTTAAGAAAATCAAAACGTAGAATTGTTACCTAATGTTAACTACTTGAAATCAACTTTAAATATTTTTTTTAACAACAAAGATATTTTTTGCATCGTTTATTGCTCTTTGTCTCTTGCTGTAGCTTATATGATATCATTTTTATTTTTCCCTTTTTATGAATAAAGTTAAATCGCAATTTCTACTAGAGATAATCAATAAATCATTTAGATTTTTTTTATACAACCCAAATTCATGAATTTTTTAAGCAAAAACAAGAGAGGAGATTCGACTAGCTGGCCAGTAATTCTGCAAAAATGGAACTTTTCCGGTAGGCGTGCGCTGCGAAGTTGCGTAATAAACGGAATGCGAGAATCGCGTGCGTCGTTTCTCTAATGATCGAGAATCAATAGAAATGCGTCTTCTTTGCGCATATTTATTAACTTTGCGTGATTAACGACTTAAGCTTCCTTTTTTTTTGTCGTATTTGTTATGTCTCAATTTTAAATCGGTCATTAAACTCGAACTTTTTTACATTTTAACGAATTTATTCCCTTGTAAAAAAAATTAATATAAATGATAATCCGTTGATAATTTTAATATAATCCTATAGAGATTATATAATATGTTGCACACACATTACATAGTTTTTTGTTGAATCTTCCTAAATGTTAAACATTCGTAATAAATGCATGTAAGTATTGTAGTATTCAATTAGTGTTCGATTTAGGTAAACATGCATGTAAAATTTGAATAATTCTACAAGGAAATATAACAGGTTTACGATAATTAAGGTAATTACACCAAAATAAAATATATTATATTTTAATAAATTATTTGTTTGAATAGTGTCAATTAAATATTTAAACAACAATGATGTAAAGACTCTTATGTATAAACAAAATAAACAATTAATTAAATATTTATTAAATATAAAAATATATTCATGTGATACAAGAACTTGACTTAACTATCATTCCTTTTTATTTAATAAATATCTACTTATTGTAAAGTTTTTTATTGAGTAAATATCTATTTATACTGTAGATGTTTAGTTGGCACTAATATTCAAATAAATATTTATCAAAATTTAGTATATATTTTTCTTAATAGATGTGTAGAGAGAGAGAGAGAGAGAGAGAGAGAGAGAGAGAGAGAGAGAGAGAGAAAATCAAGATCTTCAAAATACTTTTAATGAGACTTTTCCTTAAAGATGTTAAGAAATTGAAACAAATTTGACTGCAATTTTATTGATTACAATCAATTATTTATACAATTATTTATATTTAAATATAAAATACCTAGCGAGTGCATGTATAGATTTAATGGGCGTGATCATTTTGTTATTATTTACGTTAATTATCCCTGTATTTATGCGGTGAATAAAAATCTACACAGATGTGAAACCTTATAAAATTTACGAAATTTTACCTATCGCACACATATTTTTACATGTAATCTCATAAACCCTTTCGTCGAACAAACTAATCATTTGATGTTATTTGATTTATTAGAGAAGTATGCGTGTTCTACGGTCACAAGTTGTGGGATAAATCAAGGCACAAATTTTGGGGCGAAACGATTTCCATCTCGCTTCGCAGCTGTTGCGGAAATTTATTAGGCACAATAAATTCGGCACGCAAAAAGAAAAGAACGAAATGGAGACGACAAGTCACGCACAATCGTGCGAAACTTCCGGACTCGTGATACCCGAATGCGATGCGGAGAAACGCGGCATTGGTCGTGATAGCGATTCTCGTTCGCTTCCCCATGACCGGCAGTTGGAATGTAAATTCCATCAGTGTCACGGTTTGGCCATGCATATTCGCCGCGATCGCGACCGATCGAATCGCACCGCACATCTGTACGTTAAGGTCCGTCGCCCACGCGAATCGTTACCACCCACTCGGTGGCCACCGGGAATCGCCGTTTACTCCCGCACATTATGTCGCACTTTTAACCCTTCGAGCAGTAGCGTAGCCTAGAAAGACGTAAAGTTAAAATTAAAATTATTAGCATCTCAGATTGATTGTGTTTAAATGTCCGTGTTGATCCGTATCAGCGAACGTAACATTATAATCGATACACAATGTCCGTCTTACACATCTACGTTCCGCTAAACTTTATATATTCTAATGGGTTTTCATACTTATATAGACACACTTGTTTGAACAATTTGACATGACTTTTGAACTTTTTCCAAGAGATATGAAACATATAGGATTGACTGTTCAATTCTATGTGAATAATGTCGAGTTCTACATCAAGACTCACCCGAGCTGTGATTATGCGAACATTTTAGATAATTAATTTTGTACAGCGATTTTTATGATAAGTTAATATCTGAAGAGGGCTCAATCCGGTAGTCGAAACTTGTTATTTATTCTTTTTAATTGTGTGACAATTTAAAAAATGTGTTTGACTCTTACTTTGCCCTTTATTTATTGTCATTTATTTTGTATAGGAAATCCTTCTATCTGTTAAATGTCCATGCGTTTCGGCGCACAGTCACATCTAAGATAAATTAAATTCATAAACCAAGAATATTATATTATTCGAAATATTTAACTTTAACCTTGGCGCTCTCTACCATATTTATGTTGAAAATAAAAATTCTTGCATAAAATAATAGGAAAATGCTAATTGGAATAATTAAAATTTCATTTATTTTGTTTGTGATCGCACGAAGAAAATTTCCTGGAATGTATTCGTTAAAGGAAATTAGACTTTTAAAATGTATTTGTCTGGTTTGTTTATCTCTCTTTTTCGTTTTACGCCCGCATAATGCTTGCTAGTTTGCATATCTCTGGTGCAACGAAGTGCACTTATTCAATTGATGCAATATATTTTTGATACTTTCTATTATAGCGATTTGTTCTGTAACTGATTGCTGTTTTGAATTTGTTATATGTGGGAAGCGTCCGGATTTCTGTGAACATTAATATTTCTTCGTTTTTATTAATAATTTACAAGTATCTCTACGAGATACGACACGTATATCTCTACGATTCTACGATCAGGATTTACTAATCTAAAATAATAGAAGTGACAAAACGAAACCTCTAAAAGTGTATATAAATTGTCAAGTACAATTTTACGAGATAATTGTGATTTGTAACACTTTATTTTTGGTCCAAGACAAGGGCAAAGTAAAATGCAATATTTCTTTTGGGACACAATGGCTATCATGGCTGTCGTGTCTGAAAGTAAGAACGTTTCAGAAGGTTGAAAGGGAAACAAGACAACGTTGCACGCACGTGCGCTAGCGTGATCCGCGTGCTAAGCCACGCGTGCGAGGCACATTGCTTTGCCAATACGATCTGCGAATTGGGTTATTTCGAAAGTGTGTAAACATTCGAGCATAAACAGCATGGAGGAACATTGTAATACCAATATAACAATCGCTAATGTTAATATTGTAACATACGATTGCAATTTCGATAATTTTTGTTTCATTATTATGATTTGTTAATGATTTGCAATAGTTTGTTTTATTAAGTTGCTTAATTTGACCAACATGAGCTACTTAATCTCATATGTTGTACTACTTTAGCTTTGCGAAATTAACAATGAAGCAATAATTAAGAGAATTCGCTAATACAAAGGAATATTAAGTAATTTTCTTCTAAATAAGATTAAATAAAATATGTAACACCTATAGAGTCTTAATAAAGATTTTGTTACAATAATTTGTATAAATGTAATGTATATGTTCATGTCATATTAAAGTACATTTTTAAACATTATTTTATATATATATATATGTATATATAAACTTTATTATTTATAGTTTTTTATAACAATGATGATATAACTAGAGGAAAAGGTGATAATGTGGATCTCTGTCTTGTTTTTTGTAAAGCTTCATTTTGTAATCATATTCAAGTTAATGATATCACAATAACAATAATATAATTTATTGATCTAAATTTAATGTAAAACATACTTGAAATTAAAACAGTTCACAAAATGGGAGAAATTATTTAAATGTGAAAAGAGAAATTATGATGTAATTACCTGAATATGTATATGATGATAGACTCGCCTTATATTTTTGCCAAACCTAGTTTCTTCAGGTCTGTTAGGATTTCTTATAAACTGTAAAAATATACATATAGTTTAAACTAAAAAAAAATTGTTTTTCTAGCAATACTCTTGCATTGATTCCCATCCTCGTGAATATTTACTACGAGCACTCTTCTTTTCTCACTTCGCAGGCAAATTGTTTTACAATTTCAATATTTATTTCAAAACAAATTAAAAATCTTTCTAAAGGATGTTAATTATAACAAAATGTTAATTGGAACGTTGTAGCAGAGGCCTATATTATTATCATGTTTTTTTTCTCTCTCCTGTAATTTTTATGCAAATCAATTATATCTAAGGTCGACTGTATTTACAGTGAAAAGTTTGAAACGTAATTAATCTTTATAGAGAATAAGGAGTTTACAAATCTGTAAGGAAACATTAGTTCCAACCTCTTTCTCATTCGATGAAAGAGGTCTAGTTTGAGAGTCTTAAGGTGTAGATCCGCGCCTAGATATCCGTGTCGCATCGGGTCGGGTCCGCCATCGCTGCGATCGCGTCACGAAGGACCCGTGGGTCCGTGTCACGAAAGTGAGCAGTAAGAGAGAAAGAGAAATAGGGAGAGAGCCGCGAAAAACATACATACAACACGCGCAGTGTACGCGTACACGTACATAGGTACATAGGTATACGCATACACGCTGAGGGAGCGCGCGAGTGGCGCGCCTTCGCCCGGCCGGCCGAAACGAAATCGCGGGGCCGCAGGATGATGGTATGGCTGCGTTGCGCGTTTGACTCCACGCAGTATCGATAGTATCGCGGATAGCCGACTTCGAACGCGAGGAACGGGGCAGGGGGAGGGGGGAGGGAGAAGGAGGAGTGGAGAGGAGAGAGGGTCGACGGCGCGAGAGAAGGAGAAGAGCGCGAGAGAGTCGTGAGAGCGAGAGAAGGTACGTACACAGGGTGGCGCGGAGGCGGTAATGTGGAGCGGACGGAGGAGCGACGGGGGGAGGGGGGAGGGGTTACGCGCGACGGTACTGACGGTAGTATACCGTGTGCCGTGAGGTCGGGGAGAGGCAGGAGACCGGGGGGCGGGAGGGGGAGGGCTACGTCGGCGTGCAGGGCGGCACTGGCAGAAGTGGACGGGCAAGAGCCGATTCAACCTCCTTTCACTTTCAACGAGCTCCGAGCGCGCTCGTTCGCTCGCTGGTTCGTTTCGTACGTTTCGTTCGCTCACACTCGCGCTCGTTCATGCGGCCGGCGGCGAGCAGTACGAAAATAGGCAACGCCGCCGTTTTCGCCAAGCGGCCGGGCCCTCTCGGTTGTTCTCGGTACCCCGCGAGAGAGTTCAGAGGCGACGAGAATTCCCGCCCCGCGGGACTGAAATCCCTTTGACTCGCACGAGGGTGCCGTCATGACGCTGTCTCTTAGTCTCCTCCTCTGTAGAGGTTCAGATGTCAGATCAGAGTAGCGAAAAGGACCGCCATTGTTTCACCTATATATTAAAGATTTACTAAGCTTTATTCATTGGCTTATTTATTATAGGTGTATTTATCATTTGTTATCTGTAACTTGTTGGATGATAGACTATCAGGTCAAAAACAGTGGTCAAAATAGTGGACAGGAAATAGTCAACAGGAAATGTTGGCATTCAGCTTAGATAAAAGGATTGCGCTGCTCTGGTACATTTAAAATTCTAGAATCTCGTAATTACTTCGATCTTACGATGCTGTAAAATGGTAAAAAAGATGAGTGCAAACGAGCTCGTGATCACGAGGAAGCTTCTTAGGTAGCGAGATAGTTTGACAGCTTATTAGATCTGTAATATCGTCGGGAGCGATTCAACCTGGCGAAAGGGTTTAATATCGAGATCAGATGGGCGTGCGACGTATCTTTAGATTCGTCTCCCTTTCTTGTTTTCACGGATCTTTCCTTCATATCAACGTTTTAGTTACAAAAGAATACTAAATTAGATGATAACTTTGAAAACAAGAGACGCCTATATAATTCGGGGCTGTCATTAACATATAGATAATTTCAAAGAAGTCAAAGGTCACGCAGTATATACTTTAAGTTTTATATTGTTATTACACGCAGTGGCGTACTAATACTCCCGCAAAATAAGTGTGAGATATTTCTGTAACTATAGAAGAAGGAATCTAAAGAAGATATCTAACATTTAATATAATATTGTACATACATTTCTATCGGTATAATGATTTTTTTCAGTGACGCCAGTTTCCTAGATTTTCCATAAAACAATTTCGGACACGTTTGAAAAGTCTATCTTCAGCAATGGTAGAATGAACGATTTAACGAATTAAAAGTAACCCCAAAAAGATTACTAATATAAATTTATTTTTCAAACAAAATTCAAACATAATTATTTCGTTCACTGTAATTATTAAATAAACGGAGTTATATTGTAATTCCATGCGTAACATTTCGTATCTCAAAATGATTTTGATGTAATAAAACACAATGCCGTTATTTATTTATTAAAATATTACAAAATTAATATAACACGTATAATATTTAATTATAATTGAATTTTATTTTAATTATTTCAAGAGATCAACGAAAATAAAATTTAATGGAAATTCTGTGAGGTATTAAAAAAGTTTTCTGAAAAAAAATTGAAGGCGCCCTTTAATTTTTACACTTTATGTATATATTAATCACAATAAAAAAAAAACAAATGCAATGTTAGTCTCTACATAATGAATTATCGCGATATCAATAAATTTAGAAAAATTTAAGTAATTCTTTAATATATTTTCACTATGGCGAATCTAATTAAGACCTGATTGCATCAACGTCATTTTGAGCGAGACTTAAACTTCTCTCTGTCTCGTTTTAAAGTCTAAAGAGAAACAGGGATAGAGAGAGCTTTAAATCTCGCTTAAAATCAAAGTAACGTTGGTGCAACCAGGAGAGATAAAAAACGAGATAAAAAATTATTGTTAAATTACGTTTGGAAAAATGCGGAAAAGAATATACATTTTTATTCGGGTTTGCTATACTTTTTATATGCTTAGGATGAAACAAGTATTAAAACGCGTCTCTTGGTAACAATCGTAAATGTAAGTTCGTGCGAAAATCTTTTTGAAAACTAATCGCTTCGCGAACGAGGCAATTGCAAATGCTTTCCGGGTCATGTTTCTTTACAGGAAGTACCGATTGCGCGGCGAGTCGTTTGACGTGAGTAAAAAGCGTAAAAAAAATGTGCTTGCAAGAGAGCTCTCTGCGCGCTAATCGACAATTACGAATTACGCGAGCGACTATTATAGCGCACTATTTTCTTTGCACCGTTAGTGATTATAGGCTGACTGGGTGTATGCCGTATTTAAATCGCACATACGTCATTTCCAGCTGATTAGCTATTGTCCGGAGTTGCATATGAAGCTTCACTCTTCGTAAAACGTGTACGATTGAAATCGAGTCGTAGCATTGAACCATTTTAATATGATAACGCTATGATACCGGTATTAAATTGTATGTTTCTTTAAAGATTTGAAGAATGTAACGATTATATGCAATTATATAAGAAAAAATGAAAGCAGATATAATATAGAATACCTATTTTTAAATTAATATTATCTAATATAAATGTATATTAATAAGACTTTTATTTTATGCATAAATACACGGAGAGAATTTTTTCTTAGAGTTTACCCTGAAAATATGATAGTCGTGGGATAACATTGTACCTCGAAGAATTTTAATGTAAATCTCTCATTCATTAATAAGACTACAATAAAATATAAAATAAGTTTGATTAATTTTACTGAAGTGTGCGTGGTAAAAATCTTTAAAATTTTTTTGTATCAAATCTTTGTATCGTATCAGAACTACTACATTTTCACGGTAAATTTTAAAAGAAAATTCTCTCCGTGTACTCTGTATGCAACTCTTAAGCAATATATTAGTTATAACGTCCAATAGATGAAGTTTTCAGAATTTAAGTTCAACTTCTGTATATTAATAAAAAAAGTAAAAAGTAAAGGGGTCTATAAAATAGAATATAATATGAAATACAGGTCACGTTTCAGAAATAAGTTCCTATACGATATTAGTAGCCCTACTTCACATTATCTGCTTTTACTCTAATTGATTTTAAAAGTGTATTTAAGATAAGAATATAATTTCCTATCTGTTCCGCTTCATGAAAGTAGCGCAATCGTGGTACACTTTGGAATTAATCTCATAAATTTACGATGTTCTTCAATTAACTTTTTTTTGACATCTTATGTGAGTTTCCAATTATAATCTTATACCTTTAACAAGTTTATCACGATAAAATCTTGAATTTAAACGATGAATAATCGTACTTTGTCAAAAATTTCTATTCTCTCAGTGGCTTGTGGTTTCAAGAGCAACTAACCTTTTGGTGTATTTGATTTGAAAAAAAATTGAGTGTGGCTGGAAATTCATAAAATTCAAATATGCATCACGTGTTGAAACTCGCGCGTGTATTCCCAACGCTACATTCGTACGCAAAAGTTTTCGAAACAACTTTACGACTCTATCAATCTCACGTGGCAGATGGCTCGTTATCAGCGGCTAGTTTGAAGAAGTCGCTACGCGTACGGTTTTATGATCCTTGTACAGAATGCAGCAATGCTTGAAAAGATGCGATGCGATAGTCAATCATTCTCTCGCTCTTACAGAAAAGTACGATAAATTGATTGGTGATAACCGCTATCTAAAAGAATCCTCAAAATAAAAATCCTTAAGACGGAATGAGGATAGATCATACATCTATCTCATTCCGTCTTAAGCAGGTTCTGAATAATATGGCGGATCAACGTATGATGTTAATCTCCTTTGGAGGATCCTTGAAGACCAATCAACGATTGTTTAAACGGTGTCCAATCTCTTACTTGAGAATCTCTTACTTGAGAACCGCGTCTTGCCAAGCTCTCTTGGCACGTTTTGTGTGCAATAAGAGACCTTCTAATCGAAGATTAGTCATAAGAAAGTATCATCTATCCTCAAAATTTTGCGAGCGAGAAAAGATATGTACTATTTCGCACTGAGTGATGCGAGAAAGGAGAAATATACATCATATTCTAACTAATGCGAATTACTAGAAAATATCTGATGTCTCTAAAAAGAAGCTTTCTGATTAGAGGGTCTCTGGTGCAAGTGCTATTAAACGCGTTTATTTGCGTACCGTGGAAGGTGGAAATGCGCGGAATGTGCCGAACACGGTGATTTGCACAACGCACGCGTTGATTGCCGCGTATATGCACAGAAATAGCTGGCGGTGCACTCTCACGCTTTTGTCCTACTTATCTGGCGATTAGCCGTGACTTCCGCTTTCGTCTGACTCGGAAGACCGCGCTTCTCCAAGGTTGCTTCGTTCGATTGCGCGCGCGCGCGCGCGAGAGATTTTTCTTGGGAATCGAATCGGCGAACAATACAATCCGCTATTTTCACACCGCTCTACACGTTCAAAATTAAAAACTGATTACTCCGCGTTAGAAAAACTCTTCATCATTTTCTTCATCCGTAGCTCTTGCCTTCGGCGCGTATTCTTAAAAAACTTACGTACGTAAATTTATGCCTTCCACATTTATTTGCTCAAACTCTTTGAAATAAAATTTAATTTAAACCGTCAACTGAAGAAAAAGATTCTTCTTTCTTGTTAAAAAGAGGTTGATATGTCAAACCATTCATTCAGAAAGTAAGTTTGCAATAAGTTTGTAACGCAACAGATAAATATATACTAATATAATTAAATTTTTACTCGAGGGAACCTCGTAGTATTGCCTGAGAAATCGATTTTTCTACTTGACGATTCAGCCTTCAAACGGTATCGAACACAGTGCATAAACCGGCGAATGAAGAAATCGTTCAAGGATAAGAAAGTAGGCTGTGACTCTTAAACGTTAATCAAAAATTTAAGAAAGAATAAACGCAAGGAACACTCGCTGATACATACACACCGCGTTGAATGAACAATTCTTCCTTGTTTCAGCTGTGCGGGCGGACAGAATGCGAGGCGGTAGAAACAAATTCGGGCCCATGTACAAGAGGGATAGAGCGCGGAAGCTGCAGCTTATACGTCAACGGCAACTGGCGATCCAGACGATACGCGGCAGCCTCGGTGACCCGAACAGCTACTCGACCGCGGTCGCGCCCTTGATGCACATCAAGCAGGAGATTCAAATACCTCAAGTCTCGAGTCTGACCTCGTCACCGGACTCGAGCCCGTCCCCCGCGACCGTGGCCGCGGGCCTGGTCACGACGCAAGCCGGCGGCAGTGGCAGCGGGGCTGGCCAGCACCAGCTGATCGCGCCGTCCAGCCAACCCAACATCGGTACCAGTGGTGCTGGTGGCGGCGGCGGCGGCGGCGGCGGCGGCGGCGGCGGTGGTGGTGGTGGTGGTGGTGGTGGAGGCGGAGGCGGGGGTGGCGGCAATCACTTGCACAATCTTAACCCTGGTCTGGACAGCAGACTCTGGGCCGCCAACTCAACTACCCCTGGCACGAAGGTCTTCAACTTCGGCGAGCAATCCGTGCAGCCACACGGCGGCGGGATGCCGAGCTACGCGTCCAATCCCGTTGTCGCTCTTAAGACACTTAGTCCGATGATAAGGGAGTTCCTGTCGTCGATCGACGACCGCGAGTGGCAAACGTCTCTCTTCGGACTCTTGCAAAGCCAAACGTATAATCAGTGTGAAGTGGACTTGTTTGAATTAATGTGCAAAGTGCTCGATCAAAATTTGTTTTCGCAGGTAGACTGGGCTAGAAATTCGACGTTCTTCAAAGATCTCAAGGTGAGTACCTCGAATATCCGGCCTTTTGTAGAACGACGCACCGAGCAGCTTCTTTCCCCCCCTCCCCCCTCCCCTCCTCTCTATCCTCCTTTTTTTCTTTTTCTCCGTTATCGCGAATTTGAGATTGTTGTCTTTGTCCAATATTTTAATTTGATCTAAAACTGAACGAGAGGCAACATATAATAACATATGCGCATATTAGAAATAATCACAACAATTTTGTCGAGAATCTCTTCGACGAGAAAAGTTCGTTCTTACCGATAAATAACTCGTTGCCTGGCCTGCTTGGTGCTATGAGCGGGGATGTGAGGTAACCAGCAGCATTGCACAATCACTGAATGATTTCAAGCATCGCCTCATATCTAGGTCATAACAAGATACGTTTCTGGGTTATGGCAGTTGCCCCAAAGCAGGACCGCGTTAATTATAAATTGCATACTTTAACCGGTCGTTTTGTAATAACTTTTTATTTTTGCTTCAACACGGTGGATTTGTTAACGACAATGCAAAACAGATCGAGGCCATTTTGTTGAAACTTTTCGCCGACAATATGGTACATTGCTGCCTGATCTTCACTATAATTTTGTTAAAATCATATCATTCTTCTAAAGAAGGTTTTTTTATACGCTTTTTTCTAGTTTTATAATATAAATATAAATCGTTACACATGTATCAACCACATTTTTTAAATATTTTTTGTTATAAAAAACATTTTTTTGATTTATAATAAAACGAATACTTTGGAGTTATAATTGATATTTGTTTATAAATTCTGATTAAAATTATTTTAATTTAATTTATAAATTTGCCTTTCTCTTTTTAGAAATATATTTATCGCATGTATTTTTATATTTAATTCTCTCTAAAAACATTTTATCGTTATATCGTGTATGATTTTTTGTAAAATAGGATTAAAATACCAAATATAATATATAATTACATCTGTATTTTTTTGTATATTTAGTCATTATATTTAACATTTGTACGGCAATTATTTACTAGGTTGACGATCAAATGAAGTTGCTACAACATTCTTGGTCGGATATGTTGGTGTTAGATCACCTTCATCACAGGTTACACAATAATCTACCCGACGAGACGACACTTCACAATGGCCAAAAGTTTGATCTTCTCTGTCTCGGCCTACTCGGAGTTCCTTCCTTGGCCGAAACCTTCAGGGAACTATCCAAGACACTTCAAGAACTAAAATTCGACGTTCCCGAATATATATGCATGAAATTCCTAATGCTGCTGAATCACGGTAAGTAAAATTAGATCCATCCATATTCATCTCGTTAATGATGAATTTCGAGAGACAATTAAGTTGATAACAATTAAGTTGTAAGATTCATTTGATCATACGTTACGTTTTATGTAGCTTTTTAAAAATGTACCGCAAGGATCGTTTTGCATGAACGATACAAAACATGACATTTATCACACGACGCAATGTAACTTGCTTTTTTATCCTTTGTTCCATTTTCAAATAAACCTCATTCCGATATCTTGTAATACTCAAATTAAACTTTACACATGTTTTACATAAGTGTATATATTTAATATATATTTTATGTACTGCAGATGTCCGTGGACTAGTGAATAAGAAACATGTGCAAGAAGGTCACGAGCAGGTTCAACAGGCGCTTATGGAATACACGCTAAGCCATCACCCATCTGTACTGGTGCGTTTTACCATCAAACGCTTTCTTATATATTTCACCTAAAACAAGTTAACCAGATATTTAATTGCCCTTATTTTCAATCTGTTTAGGATAAATTTAATAAGCTGTTAGCAGTATTACCGGACATTCACGAAGTAGCAACCAAGGGAGAAGAGCATCTTTATCAGAAACATTGTAATGGAGGCGCACCAACGCAAACGCTTCTCATGGAGATGCTTCACGCCAAGAGGAAATGAAACGATCAGTTTTACTTGGTAATCTTTGCCATCGAATAAAAAAAAGCCCGTTAATATATTCATACATAATACATCATATGTATACATATGTATGTATATATATATGTGCGTGTATGTATGTATATGTGTATCTCGAAAGTCCTGTTAATGCCCCTAATCGTGAGACAGAGTGGACCTCAAAGTACCTATTAAGAGCTAAATGCTGCTAAGGTATCGGACCAAGTAAAGGGGCCCTGGTTCATGAAATACCTGTGCATACAAATCAAGTATAGATGTACATTATTTTACACACACATACACACACACACATATACACACACACACACATACATAGAATATATGTATTATAAAATGTATCTAAATATATAAACACAATGACATATATTTTCTATATTTGATGTTGAAGTTTTAGAGATGTATCCGTGGGGAAAATTACCCCTAATTAATGGGTATAAGCGCAGGGAAACAGTAAGCAAGATGCCTTGAAAACAGTACAAAGGGTGGTTAACAAAAAATATTGGTCGAAGGGCAGGCAACTTTTGTCTAAATAAGTAAAGCTATTTTTCTAATACTTAGAGGCGAATTTATTTTTAAGCATACCACACTGAAGCCTTGCTCTCACTCAAATGAAATATATCGTACTGCTAAAAGAGAATCAAATTCTCTCTCCAGATCAATCGTGCTTCTGCAAGGGATTCAATGGGCATACTTGAATGACAATGAACTTGCATGTGATATACATATATGTTTGTCGCACGGCCACCTGGGCATCCTTAGAATTTCCTATAAAGAAAAAAATATGCATTTTTGTCACACTTGCACTCAGCGGGGCTACTATATTGTAAATACTAGTTAACATTCCAATTATGTTGTAAAGTACAGATCATGTTAAATATGTAATTACAATATTTTGTGTATAGTTGAATAATGAAATGAATAAATATATTTCTGTTGCTTACTTGAGGAAAATCATTAGCTACTTAATATCTTCACTAATTTTAGGATCTTATTCATGTATTTTTCTTTATTACTTCTCAAATAGGTGGCGGAAAGGAATAACTACAAATTGCGATATTTTACTATTGTATGTTGTATCATAATAAAGATTCTGTTTAAGAAATAAAAGAATCATTGGAGCAAGGTTTATGTGGTCCTATATTGTCTAGCGATTAATTCTAAATGCATAAGATAATATTAAACGTATCGCAGTTGTTAAATAGAAAAGAATATTTAGTAAGTGTTAAGATAGTGATCGAAAGTAGTAATTTTTTCACTAATAGATTATTATTAATTTTATTAATTATTACTATTATTATTATTATTGTTTAGCCAATAGTCAAAGAAATTCTTCAGTGCTGTGAAGGTTGTCTTTTTGACGCCTGTGGTATTTGAAGCCATTGGAAATTACATATTGTGTCAGATGCAATGTTAAACGTGACAACAGAGACAGAAATCTTTTCTTGCATTGGTAAATTGGTAATATTATCCGTTACGATTCCTCTTGTTTTTATTCATGTATCAAACACGTACCTGCTGCAAAAAAGGCTATTTTACTACTTTCACTTTTTCCACCGATCTTTCAATACAATTAACTAGGTGTAAAGTGCTTGTCGGTAAGCACGAGAAACTTGATGTCTCATGTTAGATTAAGACTCGAGTGTTAAATCAAATCAAGAGGAATGCAGTAACGATCATTATTACCAATGAAATTAAATATTTTCTTGAGAATAATAACGCGAATGTACTTATCGCGTGAGCAAAGATTTGTGTCCACCTGTCAGATTTGACCTTATACGTCGATATAAAATATGCTAATGTTCCCAAATTTTCAAATCGTCCGATTTTTTATGTTAAACATGAAATTGAAAGCAGCCTAGACTTATCATTATTCTCATTTTTAATAATGTTTCTTATTTGAAAAGAAAGCAAATTATTTTTATTTAACTCACGACACGAATGACTACCTCTTCATATCTGTATTAAGTTTTTATATTTTTACATTTTTAGTAACCACATACCTCAGAATATAGACGCCCAGATAGCAATTTGAATGGAATGAATGAATGTAACATGCATAAATAAATATTTTAATTCGTGTAGTGTGTATAATTACACGTTAAGAAATTACGATGTAATACAACTTATTAAAAGTATCGTATCTATTGTATGTCCACACGTTATTAGGTCTTAGTTAATTATTACTATTGTATTTTCTGCAAATTAGTTCATAATTCTGTCTGTCATTTACTGTATTAGTTACTGCTGTTTCACAATTGAAAAATATCGCTTTAAATCATTGCTGTTTGGGTAAGACAAGTTCACGCTACCGTTTATTTATTGTATCGTCTTCTTTCCTCTCAGAGACCTCCTGCTGAACGTGTCGGTCTGATAATTTTGGAACAAGTCGTATTAATCGCAAACATATGTTAAAAAGAAAAAAAGCTCCTCTAAAAAAGAAAAAAAGGATAACTCTAAATCAATTATCTCTGTATATATTTTGTATATAGAATAAGGCATATAAAGCGTGACATATTAATCTCCTTTAAACTTTAATTTTAGGAAAAGACGTTTTCTGTAAATATTGCAGGATTTTGAAGGAAATATAATAACGACGATAATAGTTTTATCAGAGTGCCATTTGCCAGAGTGAATCATAAAGATGATATTTCTTTTTTGCTTCTTAATGAAACATCATTATTTTTCCTAATAAATCTAGATTAAGATTGAGATTAAGAGATTCACGATCCTTTTAACATTAATGTAAGTTTTGCGCTAGTCCAAAAGCTGTATAACTTTGTAGTAACATAAACGTGTAAGCTTGTGAACATACACGTACATATATAAAATAACAAAATAGAGAAGCATTTACGAGCACGTTTTTATTAATACAAAAGTATGAAAATTCAATAGGGGTGCGCCTAAAACTTACTCTCAAATGTTAAAAAGAATTATATTAATGGGAAAAAAATATGATCATTGCCATTCCGCAAAAAATGAAATCAATTATTGTAAACGTTATATGTTCTCTTCGAAATCCCACAATTCTTATTCCTTAAACGTTTTCTTCTAAAATTGGTATTTTCCTAAAATATTAATACATCACGCTCTAAATGCTTCATTCTGTATATATATATCAATCCCGATTAACGACTCGATTTGTTACAACACGTTTATTAACCATTGTAATTAGTGAATACGACAATTACAGCGTTGTGTACATTTCTTATGTTAAATATGTACAGTTACCAATTATGATTGGCAAATAATCTAATTTAATATCTACATGATTCTTTGATCCAATAAATTGTTGGAATAAAGTTTAAAAAGAAAAAACTATTATGCGTTGTTAACACTGCCATTAGCAGTTGGCAATTGTAAATTATGTAGAAAAATTAATTGACTGTAAATATATCTTTATTATTAACAGATAATTGTTCCTTCCTAGAGAGCTAACAGTACTATTTTTTATATATTATATTGGTTGAAACCCATAGTGATATTACTTCCCTCATTTTGGAACTTTAGGATTGGTATCAAGTTACGGAATATTCGGAGGAGAGTCATAAATAATATAAGATCAATCAGTATACTATTTTTTGTGAAATTTGAAAATAATATCTCTTGCGATTATTTGTTCTCTTATTAGGATCTACAATTTTTCAAAATTTTTATGCGCTCGAAAAAAGAAAAATAGTATCATAATTTGTAACTCGAATCTTCATGTATTATCAAATAATATATATACATATATATGTATATATATATATATATATATATATATATATACATAGATATATGTATATATATTATAATATGTTTGCTTTGTATAAATACAAAATTAAGAACGTTGCACAGTGACTAATAAAAATATTGTAATTATCGCAATCAATTCTAATTTTTGACTTATGTTAAAACACAACATCTTTATCTTATTTATATATAAAACACAGCATTTCTGCATTGAATTATTTTTTGTACATTTTTGTAATGTGTTAACTTGTAACATATAATTTGTTTCGATTTTACACTAAATAATTTTTGGCATCACTTTAACATGGATATATACAATATGGATACATATTGTATTAGAAAAACATTGAAAGCTTGCTTGCTCACTAACTTTTTCATAAATTAACATTTCTATCACTTATAAAACTACTGAAGTGATAGATGTGTAATTCCAGTTGTGATTGCTCTTAATTCGATCAGGTGCAAATTTAACATTCTTTTCCATTCAAAGCATAATGATATATTTATAATACGCAGCATATTTTAAATTTTATATGAATCATTGTTGAGGTATAAATAGTAAAACAAAAGTTTGTCACATACTATATTATTTTACTATCTATAGCATGTTGTACACGCAGTAATTTCTATTCAAGTTTTAATTAAATCGTGAATTAAAAATTAAAAAAATCATGTTGTATGAACAATTAAGTAAAACGTCTTTTATATTTGTTTTAATAAGTCCATTAAAATATTGAATCTTAAAAAGCAAAAGAATATAGTTCTTGAAATTATAATCTGCAATTGCTTCAAATTCTACTTTGAAGAAAATTTTTTGGCATTAGATTTCTAGATTTAATGCGCATCTGATTTTAAAAACACATTATAAGCCTCTTCATTCATTAAGTTCTTGAGCTCGTCTGAATCGCTTAACTCTACTTTGAATAGCCAACCGTCTTTGTAACAAGATTTATTAATTATCCCGGGTTTACTTTCAACTGCCTCATTTTTCGCTGTGACTCTCCCACTGACCGGACTTGTCAATTCTGAAGCTGCCTTCACTGATTCTAGAGCTCCACATTCCTCTAAAAAAATCATAATTGATCTGTGAAAAACATTTCGAATATATTTCCAGTCTAAATTTTTAATGAATGTCGTAAACTAAAAGTAAGGATAGAAAAATTAGATAAATCAAAGTTTAAACTAATAATTAAGTTTGTATCCTATCAATAGCTTTGACTTCTGTTGTTTAATTTTCTTTTCTCGATTATACATCTTAGAGTCTCGTATTAAAATAAATTTAAAAAAATAAAAAAAAAATGTATTAAACATTCCAAAGTTATAGAATAATGGAATAGTCTTTTTTTCAATGAGACATTCCAGTGTTTTCAGAGATAATCTTTTCAATTTCTTCGAAATTTGAAATTTTTCGAAATTTGGTCGCACTAAAAGTGTCATATCAGCTACCATTTTTCTTGATTGTCGATCCTATATCAGGAAGTTGCGCGTACACCACATCTCCGAGAGCATCCTGCGCGTAATCCGATATACCGACTGTGCCGATTTTGCCATCTACTGTTATCCATTCGTGCTTATCGGTGTACCATCGTTCTGAAAAATCACGCGTTTATCTTGCAACTGTGATTCGATTTATTTTAAATAGTTGCATCATATAAGATTTATGCAAATTATACAATGAAAGCATTTGTATCGAAAAAATAAAAAAATATGACAATATAATAGAATATATTAGTTCTTGGATGACTTCGATCAAACTTTGACTACCTCGATCGAAGTGAATTGAATTAACTTATCAAGTTATAATATCTGAATTATTTTGTCAACATGAATAATTATCAATTTTTTTGTTCGAAAAAAAAAACTGTTGAAATATATATTGAAAAGAGTGAAATTAAGAACAATAATTGTACCAGTCGAATGAACTTTCCTGATGATGGACTTGTTAGGTCCTTTTAATTATATTTTCTTTATGTTACATCTGTAAAAATTTCGATTATTCTTATATAAAATAAACTTATACATACATTCATTCTTTTATTCAAGTATGTCATTTTGACTTTTTGAAATTAATTAATGTTTAATTGTCTTTCAGTCAACATAAATTAAATGAGTTTTATGAGACTCAATAATATCAGGAATTGCTTTTGACGTTAACTCCGGCGGTTAATCGTTCACAGTTGAAAAAATTGTATTAAATTAACATAATTCACGTGTTCCAGTTCGGTTCACCTAACTTTTATGCTAATTTAATACAAAGTGAATATATTAGAAAATAACCAAACATTAAGCAAAAATTAACACAACAAAACATCTGATATAATTTGGAAGCAAATTATGGAAACATATTTCTTCAACAACATTAGCATTTATAATTTGGTAAATTTAAATATGTAAATTTTAAATATGTTAAATTAACGCATATCCATCTTTTATCTATTTACTTTAGAATTTATGTTTTAAAACTACATTTTTGTTATTTATTCATTTACTGATAAATAAATTGTGTTATTTTAACAATAAACAATGTCAATTATTAACACAATAAGGATTGGTTTTAACATAAGTACAAAATGTTTTTTACTCGTGTTGAGATTAAATTAATCAGACTTTGGTCGAATTCGTTTCTATTTTATTTTAATTACAACAAACTTTTTATTATATATAAA